GCGGTGTTACATGGGAGCGCCAGGCTGCTCCCGTCACTACCCGCGCTGCTGCATTCTGGACCAGTTGAAGCCTCCGGGTGCTCCTCAAGGGGAGCCCCATGTAGAGAGCGTTGCAGTAGTCAAGGCGAGAGGTGACGAGGGCATGAGTGACTGTGCACAGGGAATCCCGATCAAGAAAGGGCCGCAACTGGCGGATCAGGCGAACCTGACAAAAGGTCCCCCTGGTTACAGCCGTCAGATGTTCCTCCAAGGACAGCTGCCTATCCAGGAGGACTCCCAGATTGCGAGCCCTCTCTGTGGGGGCCAGTGACTCGCCCCCAATAGTCAGTGATGGAGTCAACTGACTATATCGGGATGCCGGGAGCCACAGCCACTCAGTCTTGGAAGGGTTGAGCCTGAGCCTGTTCCTCCCCATCCAGATCCGCACAGCCTCCAGGCACTGGGACATCACTTCAAGGGCATCGTTGGGGTGGCCTGGGGTGGAGATGTACAGCTGGGTGTCATCAGCGTACTGCTGGTATCTCACCCCAAAGGCACGGATGATCTCGCCCAGCAGCTTCACATAAATGTTGAACAGGAGGGGCGAGAGGACCGACCCCTGAGGCACTCCACATATAAGAGGCCTTGAGGTCGACCTCTGCCCCCCTGCCAACACGAACTGCGACCGGTCGGAGAGAAAGGAGGAGAACCACCGTAATACGGTGCCCCCCATCCCCAACTCTTCCAACCGGTGCAGCATGATACCATGGTCGATGGTATCAAAAGCCGCTGAGAGGTCTAACAGGACCAGAACAGAGGAACAACCCCTGTCCCGAGCCCTCCAGAGATCATCAACCAACGCGACCAATGCCGTTTCCGTGCTGTGTCCAGGCCTGAAACCCGACTGGAACGGATCTAGATAGGATGTTTCCTCCAAGAATTGTGGAAACTGTCGCGCGACCACACTCTCAACAACCTTCGCCAGAAAGCGAAGGTTGGAGACAGGACGATAGTTGGCCAATATTGCCGGATCCAGGGACGGCTTCTTGAGGAGAGGCCTCACCACCGCTTCTTTCAAGGCGGCGGGGAAGTGACCCTCACTCAACGAAGCGTTGATAACACCCTGGAGCCAGCCTCGTGAAAGATTATTAAAAACCCTAATTAAAAAACCCCTCAATCCCCGCTTTAAAACATGCCACCTCTCGGGGCTCCAAAGCCCGTCCTTAAGGTAGGCCTTCGATAGAGTGGAAGGCCATCGCCGCGAGAGGGGGGGCATCTCGCAGCGCAAGCAAATCTGCCGAGGTATAAGCCATACAAGTATGATGAGATGGAAAAGGGGAACCTTGGATGTCAGTGAAATTTAAAGATAGTCATTGAGGTGAGAGATGGCAAAAAAAGGCTGGCCAGGATGAAGCTGGGGCCCCTTCACTCTCTCACAGTGATGGGGTGACCAGATCAGATGGTTGCAGTGCAGGCGGATGGCCACAGCCGTTCTCTCACCGCGGCTGGATGTAAAAGGCCAACAATAGTCACTCTCTCCCTGCAGATGGAGCAGCAGTCCTTGACCTGGACTCTCAGCTTCTCCCTCCAGCCTGCAATCTCTCCTCCCCCGAGCCAAGGCCTAAAGGTGGAAATCGGGTGGCAGGAATAAACTAGCCAGCAGCAGAAGGAGATAGAGAACAAACATAAAAATCCAGGAGGGTGATAATAAAGTCCCAGAGTCAGTAGTGATGGAAAAATGGGCCGACCTAATAGAGAGTCCAGGTAGCAACAGGGGGAGGCCATTTTCATAGGGGGGGGGGCGAATCCAAGGGGGAAACCAGATGGTAATTGGAAATCCCCCTCGATCACTCCCCAACTCCCTTCGATGTTCCGGGCCAAATCACCCCCAATAGTCCTGCCCGTTTTCTCCGAGCAAATTCTGCCACGATCTTCCCAGGTCTCGGTCCATGTAGGGGGTTTTCAGGCGCAGCTGACCGCTGGGCCATACACCCCGAGCCTCAAATCTGGGCTAAATAACTGTTTGAAGCAGCCAACAGTCACGTAATCCAAATTCAGATGGTTGGCAACTGACATGTATTTACGATAGTTTCAGTGTTCCAGGGTCGTGTGATCATTACTTGCAATCTTCCCAGCTGGCTTCTGAGAAACAAGTCAGTGGGGGGAAACTTGATTTGCTTAATGACTGCATGATTAACATAACTGTGGTTATTCACTTAACTGTGGCAAAAATTGTCAAAATCAGGCACAACTCACTTAACAACTGCCTTGTTTAGAAATGGAAATTCTGGTCCCAACTATGGTTGTAAGTTGAGGACTACCTGTAATAAATTTGTGGTTTCACTTTTTGACTTTCATAGTACAAAATAAATTAGGAATTAGATGTGGAGCCATTGGAGAGCCTTCCAATCTTCTGACTCAAACCGGCCTGCATGGTTCATACACAGTTCATATACCCTTTTGTTAAGAAATTGCTGTTTGAAATTATTGGAATGCAATTGTATTTAATTGTTAAAAATGATCTAGTGGCAAATTATTTTTGCAAGGTGGGAAGGTCTGTTCATGTGGTTTCTTTGATGTTGCTTGGAGCCAGGCCAGAAAAGGACATTTCAACTTCTCTCATGAGAGAAAAGGCAAAAAAAAATAAAATAAAAAATACTGGTTGATTTATTTATAGCCCGAGACCAAATAAAATCACACTGCAAACTCAAAATTAAAAAGAATCAAAAAGGTATAGCAAGCTGTAGGGAAAAATGTGGAGTGAAATAAGGTAAAATAAAACAGGTCATATGATATCAAGATTTGTAGGTAGATTTTTCAGTCAATTGGAGCTGTTCCTTCCTCTTCGGAAAAACTCACCTGAGGGGGAATTGTCTCACCTGACTCACTTTTTAGTGCTTGAATTAGGCTTGGGGTCTGAGAGTAGTAGGGCCCATTGGATGAGTTGTTCCTCCGCATTGGGACTGTTTATCAATTTTATATTTGGTGTCTTTTTTATTAAGTGGTTTTACTGGATTTATTACAGTATTATCCTTTTAGTGATGGATGCTGCTCTTTCTGAATGGCTGGAGCAGCATCTCGGGTTATGGAGATGAGTTTTTGTTTTGTTTTGAAATTTACAATAAACCCACAGTACTTTGAAGCTTAGTCTAAGTTTTAAAAGACTGGTTCTTTTTCTGAAATGTCAGAAAAATATCTCTCCATTTTCAGAGGTCACCCTGGAGCCACTGAAGAGAGTTCAAAGACTGCATATAATTTTGAGGCTTCAGGTTACCTCAGAACTAAAATGTAGTGAAATGTTTCATGTATGCAAAACCTCAGAACTTCTGAAAGGGGAAACAATTTCCCTCCCTCAGAACTGTATACCTGCATTACCACAATATCTTTGTGAGACATACTGGGCAAAGCACTAGGCCACTCAGTGATTTTCACAGCATCAAGTAGTTATTTATCCACTCCTAGTCCAATATCTTAAATACTACATCAGACTAGAGGCAGGATCTATATTCAATTGTGGTTTTAAAATGTCTTTAAAATGTCATACTTGGGGAATCAAAGCACTCAGTTAATCAGTTTTCTCTGGATTATGCTTTCCCCATCCCCTAACACAGAAACTGGTAATTACAGAAACTCTGTAGAATGCCAAAATAACCAAGGGGCACAGCTAAACAAATGATGAAATTCATTTATCTTGCATGGCTGTAATGTAATCTGAAATGCTTTTATATTTGGAATCTTGGATCCTAACTTGAATCCTGTTTTGGAAAGAGGAATTTCCTGCTTAATCTTTTACAACAATCCTTTAAACTCTCAGAATTTTTTATACTAGCATGAGATTTCATAAAGTGGGCTGCAGCATAATTAATAATGATTTTCAGCACAGTAACAAAACATTTAAATGATCAATGTTACTTGGTTCATAGCACAATGTACCATTTTTGCGAAAAACGGGGTGCGCAGAGGGTTTGGGAGGTCTGCAGAGGGCTCCTGGGGGCTGGGGAGGGCAAAAACGCAACCATTTTTGTGAAAAATGGGCCCATTTTTTTGCAAAAACGGGGGCATTTTTGCCCTCCCCAGCTCCCAGGAGCACTTTGCAGGCCTCCCAAACCCTCCACACCGTTTTTGCAAAAAACGGGCCAATTTTTCGCAAAAATGGGACGAGCAGGGTGGGGCTTCAGGCTGCCAAAAATGGCTGTATTTGGTGTATAAGATGCACCAACATTTCCACCCTCTTTTTTGGGGGGGGGGTGCATCTTATATTCTGAAAAATACGGTATATGCACAAGATAGCAGAAACATCAGCAAGTCATTTTAATCTTTTAATAGATTAAAGCAAACTCAGTAACATATGCAACATTACTGTTTTGCCTTAGTTAACAAAACCCCCAAGAAATATGAATTTTCTTAAACTTAAAAATTATTTATCATGGAGATGGACTGGACTGGCCTGGAAGAATACATTATGCAATATCACAAGGTAAAACAAAACTGCTCTATGACCAGATTTTATGCAAAAGGCCAAAGATAAATAGGGAGATTCCTTCTATAGTGAAAATTGACTTTGTATAAATGCTTAAATCTTTATATCTATGTAAAAAGGTCTGTACAAATTCTTAAATTATAAACAAAAATGCCATCTCAAAACATTTTAATATAAAGAAGCAACTACCAATCCTCTGGCTTGGTTTCTATTATAATCTGGAAATTGGCAGCTAAAGCCAACGTTAGTTCATTATTTCAGTGCAAGTGAATTCTGACATGTAATTTTTCCCTCGGCACACCATAAATCACCAAAGAACAAATGCCAATTCTGCTATCCTGCAATAGACTCCACACTGAAATGTTGGAAGTCAAAATGGGAATCCAATGTCATATTCCATACTGACTGAACCATTTCTGTAGGTATAAAGTGTAACATGTTCATATTATTTAGCCTTTTGATTTAAATAACAAAAGCAGAGCAATAATTGGGAAGGTGTGAGAGATAACAAGGTGTTACTATACAATTCTTGCTCTTACCAGTCAGCCAAATATTTATTACAGTCAAAGACCAGAACAATTAAAAATGCTGAGAGTATCTAGTTAAAAATTCTGGAATAAAATAACAAATAAAATCTATTCTGAAATCATAATTTGACAGCCTATCAGTTACATACAAACAAGAGCATAATAATGTAATATTAGTCCTTAAATTGTGAAGGTCTATAGTTATTAGGTATTAAACAGGGTAATATAACAAAAATTGGTGTATTAATTGAATAAAATGGTTATAATGGATTATTCATCAGGTTCCAGCCAATTTTAGTGCTGCTGTGCAGAATCTAGCTACTTGTGCTGTGACTACAATCTGTTGGTCTTTAAACAACCACTGAAGATAAATGGTCGGAACAGTAAGGCTATTTATTATACGGAAAATAAATTTTGCTCAAACGTCTGTATAAAAAGAGCAGCAAAGAAGGACACTGCCACCTCTCCATAATCACAAGGACAAAGCTTTCCAGCCAGCGGTATCCCTTTATATTTGCTGTCCAGGATGGCTAAGGGAAGTCTATGGCATAATGCAAGTGAAAACACTTTCTGATGATTCACTATCTCTAACTGGCTAAGATAACGGGCAGGAGTGACTTGCTCGTATCAAAAGTTTGATCAAATCTTTTGTTATTATTTTTTAGGACCAGTATGCCTAGCAGATTCTTCAAAAGAAACAAGAGAACAATTTTTTGCATGAATTATAAACTATACATTCATATTATTACCCTTACTACCTAAGTACTATATGTTGTGAACTACCTAATCTTTCTAAATTGTTTTTTTAAATCTTAATCCTGAAAATATCGATTATAAAAGTTTATCTCTGTGTCAAAAATGCCTCTGGCCAAAAAGCCAGTTCTTTATAAGAACACCAGCATTCTTTACAGTACTGGCATTGAATAGATCTCCTTTACTTACCAATATAGCTAGTAAACACTTCATTTAGTTGCTTTATACTTGCATACAGGGCATGGCAAGGTTAACGTATCAAGAGTATTAATGTATTAATCCCATGTTTTCTGGAAGTTGACTCAATTAAGTTGGGAACTTTAACCTGCATCTTTAATCACTAGCAGATACAAATGCATGTATACTATTGGCTACCCATTGTGCTATGTCATTTTTACACCTGCTATAAAAAAGAAAAATGACTGAATTTTCCTTAAAGCTACTAAATATATATGATACAGGGTTTTTTCATTACTTTTTAAAAATATTTTAAAGTCTTAAATATTGCTAGCGTATATTTTGGGAATGCATGCCTATGTTCATACATTTTTTTAAAAAAGTATCTGCAACATACCATTCCTTAGATAGGATTCAATCTCTCCCACCCAACATATTGTACAAATTAATAGGTGGAATTACTGAAAATAGTGCAAACTGAAGACACAACGATTATAACAAAGTGCTAACAAAAACACTAGGTTTGGATTTAAAATTTAAAAATTAAAGCAAAACTTAAAATTAATGTTATGACCACAGATTAGAATAACATTATAGGAAAAATAACTGTGTTAAGATTAACATATAACTGGGCATTGCAGTTAAGTATTTTTTAAATCATGTTCTGAAAATGTGCTGCTTGTTTTTGTAGAAACCTTGTTTTTTTAAAGTATGTATTTTACTGAACAATTTTTTCTTCACTGATAGCTATAACTCTCTTAAATACCAAAGTGCAAACAAAAATTGGTCTGCTTAAGTATTATTGTCTTAAGTAGTCTATAATCAACTATAGTTTACTTGTTTTCTAGTGGCCTTTAGTTATTTTTTGTTTTATTATTAGTTTGAAAGAAAAATTAAGATAAATTACAAATTGGAGAATTACTTTAGGTACACTGCATCATTTCCTATGATCAATGAGAACAGATTTTTATATGAACAGGAAACCTTTACATCATATGAAAACTGCCCTTGAATTTCAGGGGAACTAATCACAGAATGTGAAAGATTCGGAGACAGGTAAAACTAAGGAAAAAACCCCAAAAACAACCAGCTGCACAGAGCTTCAAAGTCTGAGTTGTGCATTAATTTGAAAAATATCCGTGCATCCTAAGCAAAGCCTACACTTGTAAAAAAAAAAGTCAAAATTCCTTTAAAATGTTTTCTTATTAAACATTAAAACATTTTCACTCTCACTTTACCATTACTATTGATTGCTACATTGTGTATCCTGGAAGCTTGTTTATTACTAATTCACTGATATGTTTACACTGATTTGTATTATTCATCTTTCCGAAGCTATCCTCTTTTTCGTTGCCAGGTACTTTGCTTTCTTCTAGACCATTAAATTCAAGGTCAGACATACTAGAGGGCAAGTAAGAACTAACTTGAGATGTCCTTGCAGAATGGCTGTTTTCTAGAGATGACTGGCTTTTTACTATGTTACACTTTTTATCAGGCTGTATTCGTTTGTCCTCAAAAGCCTGTGTAACTTTTTCCTTTTCCTTTTCATGAATTGCAAGGTGGTCTCTTAAAGTTCTTGCAAGGGAATCATCATCAAATTTATTCAATCCAATGCCTAATTTGTTTTTGTTATGTGTCTTTTTAAGAGTCTGAACAGGAGATACAGCTGAAACCTTCGGAAGAAGAGGTGAAATACATTTAGCAGGAAGACTTCTGGAATTTTTAGAGCTGGAGTCAATGCCTGACTGACTGTGATCTGAGTTTATAGATAAAAGTTCAGGACTGTTCTCTCGAGCTTCAAAGCTTGCACCACAACTGTCAATACTGGTAAAATCTTCTGAATAGGCTGCATTTTCAGAAGTAACTACTAAACTATCGGAATTCTGACGTGCATGACTCTTTTCCAAGTTGTTAGTGTGCCTATATATATATGGAATGTTACAATCTCGTTGCAAACATTTTTGTATCTCAGCATCTACTGGGTTTTCAAGGGCTTCAGTGTCCTGTAAAAAGACTCTTGGCAGATGGACTTCCAAGCTCTTTTCTTTATAATTAGAATCAACACTTTCATACAAGTACTTCCCTTTGGCATTGTCTTTATTCTTCACACAACTGGCTCCAATTTTTTTGGTAATACGAGAGCTTATTTTCTTTGTGGTCATAGAGCTATTTCGGCCAATACTGCTTTGTATTAAAGTCTCAACATTTTCATTTATTTGAGCATTTTGATCAGAGATGCTTTTTTCATCATATTGCCCAGAAGACTTTGGACGATAGTCAAGGGAGCCCTTGAATATTTTTTCTTTAGTCAAAGAGCTTTTACCTTTTTTTTCAAATGATATGTCACCAAGTTTTTTTCTACGATGTTCTCTCTTTTCATGAACCTTCAACATACCCGGACTGGATCGCTGAACACGAAGCTTTAATGTATTCGTCAGCCCATTAGAGAATTTCCTTCTAGTGGGAGAATTTTCTTTGGTATTAACTTTTTCAGGGCTCACAGGTCTTTCAGTGTATACTGGTTTTGTAAAAGTTTTGCCAGGACAGATAGGAGCCATGCCTTTTAAATGATCTGGGCGATTTTTTTTTAATTTAGGGCTAGGTGATCTTCCTCTTTCTTTGCGATGTGGGGTGTTCTTCTTATCATCCCAGCAGCCACACAGATTCTTACCATTACAGGGTAAGATTTTTGTACCTTCTTCTGCATTTTGATATAGCCATGCCAACTGAGGATGCACAGTAGAGGGTCCTGGTGGTAGGGGCTGGCTATTTAGCAAGGAGAGTTCTACCAGCAAAGCATTCAGTAGAGGCAACTGACTTAAAGTCTGCCTGAGTTGTTCGGAAGTACTCCGTGTTGGTGAGTTGGCGAGTAAGGGTGACAGAGCCTTCTCAGCACTAACTACAGGCTCCTCCTTAAGAAAAGGTAAAGAAGTTTCTTCTTTGGGAAGTGAATCTTGAGCGGCCATGATTATCACTCTTGTTGCAGCTTTAGGGCTGGGGAAGCAACTTTCCGTTTGATGACTGTAATACATTGGTGGGGGATAAAAGGCATCGTTGTCCAGCTCTCCTGCGATCTCTTCTCCGCTTGAGCTACCGGAAAAGGGCTCCGGCTCTGTATCAGGGCTGCTTAAGGACCCCCGGCTGCCACCGCCTGGGGCAAGGTCCTGCTCCTCCTCTCCTTCCGAGATGAACTCCAGACTGAGGCTCCGTTCCGCCGCTCTCCCCCGCGGACAGTCTCCAGCGAAGGCTTCGTCCACCGCCGCCCCTTGATCGAAGTGATCTAGGCCCGAGGAGCCCAGGCTGTTGAGACGGTAGCTCAGCGCCAGCTCTCCCACTTGTTCTCCCAGCAGGTCGCGCACCGGGAAGTGACCCCTTCCAGTCGCCGGCCCGGTGCCAGGCAACAACTCCTCGGCGGCGGCCGCCAAAGAGATGCTGGAAGAGCCGAGCAGGCGGGCGGGACCCTGGTTGGGAGGCAGCGCCAGCAGCAGCGCGTGGAGCGGAGAGCGCCGCAAGAGGCCCATCAGAGCGTCCGGCCGCAGCCTGAAGAGGCACGACTTGCCCCGCCCGAAGGGCACCACCGGCCAGGACGCGGCCTGCGGGGCGTGGACCAGGAGGGTCGGGAAATCCAGCAGCCGGAGAGCCACGGACGGCAGGAAGGGGCCGCTGTCCGGTAGCAGCGACGGCAGCAGCCGCGGTTGTACGCGCGCTGACTCCACCAGCATCTCCAGCGAGAACAGATGCTCCCCGCAGCCGTCGCCCCCCTCCATGCCAGCCCGGCGGGAAGGCGCCCCAGATGGCCACTCAAAGGCAGGAAGGCCGCGGCTCTCGCGAGACTTTGAAGGCAAGCCGCGCGACAGCCGGGTCACGGCCTCCCCCGTGTATAATGATCGCCATGGAAGCGGCGGCCCGCCGTTGTCTAGCGACCGTTTGCCGTCGCTGCGCTTGAGCACGTGGAGGAGGGGGGGGAAGGCCGCAATGACCTCTGGGAATGCGAGCTCCTCGTGCGGGAGCGGGAGCCGAGCACTCCGAGAGCCTGGGAAGGAATGCTAGAGAACGCTTCCGAAAGGCGGAAGTCCCCCAGGTGCTTTTTTTTTTTAAAGAGGCAACTGGACTTTCTGGTTTTTCTTTGAAGACGTTTCGCTTCTCATCCCACGAAGCTTCTTCAGCTCTTCTTGGATGAGAAGCGAACCGTCTTCAAGGAAAACCAGAAAGTCCCGTTGCCTCTTTAAAAAAAGCAACTTTTGGACAGCCATGACCAGGATGACTGAGAATCTCCATAGACTTCAGGCTGAAGGTCTTAGACCGCGCAGTTGCCCGCCAGGAGACGCGAACTACGAGTTGAACACTTTGAGCGCAGCTGATACTGTGCTGCCCTGTCTGGATGACGGTCTCTGGAGCGCTAACGATTCGTGAAAGCTGCCCGTGCTGATAACTTCTTAAAAGTTCTAGAGCCCAAGAATACTTTTGTAAAAACATTTTTATTAGATTATAGAATAAAATACAAAAATATGAAAGCAAATAATAGGACACAGTGGGGAAGAAAAGGAGGGGGGAGTAGAAAAAAAGTGTTGACTTCCGACTGTTGCAGTAGAATAAAGCATTAACATCAACATCAACATCAACTTTTTACTTTTCCAAAACTAGCCATTTCTATAACAACAAATCAATCTAATCAGTAAAACCCAAAACCAAAGTTTCATTTTTTTCCACCTCAAGCACAAAGTCCAGAAGCGGTCTCCATAAAACAACAAAAGTACTTATATTCTTTTCTTTAATCAAAACAGTCAATTTAGCCATCCCTGCCAGCTCCATCAACTTCTATAGCCATTCATCCATGGTGGGAATCAAAATGTCCTTCCATTTTTATGCATACAATAGTCTTGCTGCCCAGAGTCCAAGAATACTGAACTAGGCAAGATAATAAATAAAATGCCCTTCAAAAAGAAGGGTTGGGTTAACACACCAGTTTTAATATTGAAGCGTTTGGGATCTGTAGACGTGGAGTCCTCTCCAGTGGTGGGTTTCAATTTTTTTTACTACCGGTTCTGTGGGTGTGGCTTGGTGGGTGTGGCATGGCTTGGTGGGCATGGCAGGGGAAGGATACTGTAAAATCTCCATTCCCATCCCACTCCAGGGGAAGTATACTGCAAAATCCCCATTTCCTCCCGATCAGCTAGGACTTGGGAGGCAGAGAATAATGGGAGTGAGGCCAGTCAGAATTTTTACTACCGGTTGTCCGAACTACTCAAAATTTCTGCTATTGGTTCTCCAGAACTGGTCAGAACCTGCTGAAACCCACCTCTGGTCCTCTCACGTGAGAAAATGGGGTTAGGTTGTATTAAGGAACCTCTCCATTTTTGCTACAGAATAGAATCCAATGGTTCAATTTGTAATATTTTTTATATTAAAAGGGTTCTCGCATTTTTATGCTTCAAAGCTTACTCATTTTCTGTGTGCAGAACACTTCACAGTGAGAAGAAATAGAAATCTACCTGAAAATTAATGTATTTGTATTTATAACTCTTGCACATATGTAATATATGTATGCATGGAAGTCTTTTTATTTTATTATTTTATTTATTTTTATTTTATTCATTTTATCCTCATAGTAACCCCATAAAATAGATTAGGTTGCAAGATACTGATTAGTTTAAAGTCACCCACTTGATTGATGGGTTTTTGTCACTCATTATGGTACTGTAATCATAATATTCTTCTAAACGATGTGCACAATCCATGCACGTTTAAATTCTTTAATTTGGAGAATTAAAAATTGAACATGTGATCATTGATCGCTGGTTAAGATAAATAGTAAAGCGAACACTTAACTTTTCCTTAATTGTACCCCGTATTTATGTTTTTTCTATGCAGGCTTGCTTGAATCAATGACCATTAGTTGATAATTACATGTTTTCATTGATATACCTGTACACATGTATGCAAATGGTGCTGAAAATGGATGAGGGTGTAGGAGTGGCTACATTTTTTTTCTGGACACTGGACACACTTTAGAAATGATTCAGAGAAATTGGAGTAGATTCAGAGAATGGCAAAGAGGATTATGGGGGACTAGTAATTAAGTCCTAAGAAGACAGGTGAAAGAATGTGGCTATGGGTTTTCATTGAGAAAACATTACTGAAGTGAGATATGAACGCACTTTTCAAATACCTGGAAAGATGTCATATAAAATATCAAGATCTATTCTCTTATTTCAGAATTTATTACAAGAAAACATAATTGAATCAAATGTTACAAATGTTTTTTTAAAAACCCATTGGTAAGAGCAGCAGACAGTGGAATCAATCACAGAGAGTGGTGGTAGGTAAGCCATCTTCAAGCAAAAACTGGGATGCCTTAATTTTATCTCTCTCTCTGATCATTTAATTTAGATTCTTGTCCTGGGCAGGGATTGGTCTTCATAACCTAAATAGCCTCTCAAATTCTATGATTCTAAATTTTGTGTGTTTAACTATTGTTAACTATCAGTATTTACACAGGTGTTAAATTTTTGCCAAGATGTTTGGTAATAATAACAAATCTATCAATTACTATACAAATTCTGAACATAACATCTTTATGTTTGACTGATTTCAGTGTAATATAATTGCTGTAAATTGCCCAGAATAATTGAGAGTTGAGTGGCAACTTTAATAATTTATTATTGCATATACTATTTCTTGAAACTACTAAACGAATGATTGCAGAATTTCCTTCTTTTCATAACGTTTTCTGATGAACAAAAAGTAAAAAGAATGGCAAAATACAAGACAGTTATAAATAGAAAATGGCAAAGTATGGATTCTTGTAAAACTGTCAGTGAGGTAAGGCAATTGCAATTTTTTTTTTCAAAAAGTACTATCAAATTATATCTCTTCTACTGTGAAATTAACTGATTTTCTGAAAATATAGCTTTTCACATGGCAAAGTTAATGTAATTAATCATTGATGCAGATAAATGCTAGAAAGTATCAAATAATAAGAACATAAATTACCATTATTCCAGAGCATCTTTTTCCTTCAAACTCACTGCGTTATCCTTAATCTGATTACCTCTGGGATTTCATGCAGGACTTTTTTTTAAAGCATTTGGGGTTAGAATGATTTGAAGTGAATAATTCACTTATGTTAAGACAGAGAGATTGCTTTTCTTAGCACCTTAAGCTAGTGGACTAGTTACGATTTGGATTATTTTTGTTTAATGGGATTAACTGAACTCATCAAAGTTAGCTGGAATTCAGCAGCAGTAACAATTTTTAGAACTGCAAAGCTTTGAAGAAATAAGTGCGTTATTATGTTTTGTTTAATGCAGGGGTTCATAACCTTTTTGATACCCCACAGCCCTAGAACACTTCTGATATATTCTCGCACCCCTTAAAAATAAATAATTATATGCATATAATTATACATATACACTATAATTTTGAAACTTTTAAAATCAAGTTTTTGCACTGGAAACCCCTGGCTTAATGTATGAATGAAGCACCTCTTAGTAGCGACTTTACTATGCAGTATGATTCTTGCCCCCCCTCCCCCTCCCCAGCAAAGCTGTTATCTTGCTTTGCATCAGTGTCTGTTGTGATATAGGTCTAGTAGCCAAAAGAGAATCTTGTGCATGGGCTGTACATGCACAGATGTCTGTTCTAACTCCTTGAGCCGGATACTAGATCTATTAGATAAATTTCCATCAAAGTAAATTGCATTACCTCATCTCAGTGAGACAGTGTTATCACCTCTTGTATATCTTAATAGTTACATAGAAGCAGGACTTCAGTTGGGAAAAATGCAAACCACCTGTTCTGCAATTGAGATGAAGTCCATCTACCCGATGGAAATAAGCAAATATTTTCCCCTCAATATAAATTTCCCCTTTCCAGTAATGAGATACTATAGCCATATTAATATTTATATGTATAATATTTAAAGTGTGAAAAATTGAGATTGGTTGCCTTGTAGGATATAAACTATGATGTACTCTGAGTAGTATGATTTCAGAAATGGCTAGTTAGGGGCAGATACATTCCATCTTAAATTAATCTTCAGACATGTTTCATGATTTTTGGAATTTGCATTTTAACAAAATGTTTCTACAGTTACATTCCATTATTGAAAATAAGAATGGAAGCAACTGAAATATGTCATCTATATTGTTTTAGTCTTATCAGAAACACAGTATTTTAAAAATAGTTTCAGTTAACCAAAGGGCAATATTTTAAAAAAGTCTTGAAAGGGATTATTTTGCAAAAAGTCCCCATGTTTTAGAATATAAGCATCCTTCTATTGGACTGTGACCTAATTACCATTTCTGTCCTGTGTTAATACCTCTCCTCCAGAATTCTGTTCAAACATTTGCATTGGAGTTGCTTATTTCTAAACAAGTATGTACAGTACTTAACTGTTTCTCGACAAAATTTACAGAATGAATATAAACAGTTGGGTAAAACACATTTGTTAGTAAAGAAAGTATATATTTACCTATATCCCAAATTAACATATTGGCTTTCTTCAAACTATGATGCAACATATAGAGAAGGAAGTTCCAACTCTCCAAATAGGCTTCATTGTATCATTGAATATGCCCTTCAGATTTGGTCACTGCCAGGAAGTGATTCTAAGTGTTAATGTTCTATTGCTATATCTCTTCTATATCTCCTTCCCTGCTTCTGTTGCCCCATTCAATCCTGTTTATTATCCAATTTTTCCTACTGCATGTCCCTTCCTTTCCTCCCAGTTGAGATCTTTGACGCTAGCATGTGTGTGTTTTTCTTTTCACATCCCTCTTTACTGCATGTTACTTCTTGTCAGAGTTCCTTTCTTAGTTTCTGTTCCTGAACACTGAAGGGGGAAGGGGAAACTGTAAGATTT